AAATAGTATCAGAACAAAAACGAGAGTGAAAAACACTATTCACTCACTTGTGAACTCAAACAAATGTTTCATTAAATTATAGGTGAAAGCAAAATAGTATCAGAACAAAAACGAGAGTGAAAAACACTATTCACTCACTTGTGAACTCAAACAAATGTTTCATTAAATTATAGGTGAAAGCAAAATAGTATCAGAACAAAAACGAGAGTGAAAAACACTATTCACTCACTTGTGAACTCAAACAGATATTTCACTAAATTATAGGTGAAAGCAAAATGGTATCAGAACAAAAACGAGAGTGAAAAACACTATTCACTCACTTGTGAACTCAAACAGATATTTCACTAAATTATAGGTGAAAGTAAAATAGCATCAGAACAAAAACGAGAGTGAAAGTTAACTTTAATGTAGCAAGAGAACTTGAAGAGTTTGAGTTTTCAGAAGGTAAAACTATACAAAAATATAAACACTGTTACCAGCAATTGTGAGAACTTTAAAAGTTCTCATACAGAAGTGAAAAGCTATGGAAATACTGGATAAAATCTAAGGAAAGTCTCGTAAAAATCTATGTGAAGTCTAGTGGAAATCTGTGTGAAAATCTTTGTAAAATTTAAGTAAATTCTTGTACAAATCTCTGAATTTTTTTGTGTGAAATTTGCAGATATTCTCTGCTCTCTAAGGCTCTAACTGTGTTTTAAATATGACAATAAACACTTGTGTTTTTGACACAATAAGGCAGTGATTGGTGCCTGATAATTGGTCAAAGGGTGTGAAGAAAATGAGCAAGTCCACCCACAACTACTGCCCCCACTTGCTGAAAGAATACCTTGGTGAGCTAATTAAATGGCAAATTTTGTTATTCCTGTAACAGAATCAGACAAGAAGGCAGCCAATCTCTACTTGACCCAATTAACATAATTAGCCCCTGGAGAAAGTTAACATTAGTAGCCTCTGAAGAAAGTTAACATAATTAGCCCCTGAAGAAAGTTTACATAATTAGCCTCTGGAGAAAGTTTACATAATTAGCCCCTGAAGAAAGTTAACATAATTAGCCCCTGGAAAAACTTAACATAATTAGCCTCTGGAGAAAGTTTACATAATTAGCCCCTGAAGAAAGTTAACATAATTAGCCTCTGGAAAAAGTTAACATTTTATTTTACCAGAAAGTGTATTTCCAATAGGTACTCACCTCGACACACAGATTAGCTTTCTTCCTCATGTATATGCATGTTCTGCCAAAGAAATTTGCAAGCCACCAGCTCTGTGAAAACTCCAACCAAATATCATCATGCAGCAGAACCCTCCACATATAGAAGTGTGACACACATCCATGTGCAATGACTCCCTATAGATTTCACAGTCATGAATCCTCATTCTTCGACAACACAATGGAGATATGTGCCCCAGAAAGTGGGAGAGAATGTGTAAGGAGGTGTACATCTCTTGGAAATACATTTTCAGGAAAGTAAAATGTGACCTTTTGAAACAAATGTTCACCTCCACACACAAAATAGCTAGAATCCCATGTTGAGATGGTGGAGGGGCTGGTGCAAATATTACCTAGATGAGCCCCCTTCAGAAAGTACTTAAATGAAGCCCATGGGATGTGACACCCAATGGCAAGAGCTCCAAAGGGGCATACCCATGGGATACCACATTTCGTCTCATCCAGGGTATACCCTTTGCATGTATAGAAAAATGGAAGAGGCAAATAAGCTATATTTGTATTGCAAGGACAGGTAAAAGAGGTACAAGGCTGTCCAAGTACTCACACACAAACTCTCAGACAGCCAATGTGGGTAGTGAGATTGAGGCTTATTCAAACTGTACCTTATGTGCTAACCTCCTCTACTGTCAGTTTCTATAGGCACCATGTCAGCTGTGGGAAGAGGGCACTGTACAAACTTAGTTAAATATGGATACTTATAAATACCTCTACTTGTCCACCAGTCTCCATGGGCCCCTTACAGGAGTAGGATTTGTGAGAAATGTGGTCACCTCAACTCTATTGTCAGTCTCTACAGTCCTCATACCAGCTGCAGAAAAGCATTATATTATGCCGTGGATACATTTATACACCTCTATTCAACCATCATTCTCGATGGGACCCTGCCATCTCCAGAAATGGGGTATGTTTGTGATGTAGTATTGACTGTTTACCTAGACTCTACTAAACAGATACTGGCTGCAGGAGGAGGACTTGTAAGATAAACGTATTGAAAGGAATGGTATAATGAGTTGTATCATCAGAAGACTATTTGTAGATTGTGATGTCTATGCATCATATATATATATATATATACATATGTGTGTGTGTGGTGGGGGGGGGTGACCCACACTGCACCTTTGGTGTCACTACAGCCCCCCTTATCACTATAATGGGATCCTTTGTTACAGTCCCAGCAGTTAGGTCACCAATTCTCTGTGGTCCATCCCCCCAGCAGCTGTACAGTGTCTCCTGTACACCACTTGATAAAGAAGGGTAAAACTTGAATTAGGGAGACCTGGAAAGTGTGCCAAGATCCCCATCAGTCCTTCAATACAAAAAGGCAAATGTATGGGTATAAAATGAAATAGCATAGTCTTTCAACTCCTTGAATAAAGACTCAAAAACAAAGAAATATCATTAAAATAAACATTGATGTTAAGCCAAAGATATATTTTGAACAATTTTATGAATGTTGGTAGAGAAATTAGGTTTATTCAATAATAGATAAAATGTGCTAACTGGAATTTAGGCAATTTAAATAATTGGTTAATGCTATACTGAATTAACACTATTCCTATTTTGATCCACCATATTTCTGAAATAAACAAGATCTCAGAAGAGAAACCGAGTTTTGTAAATTAAACTAATATTATAGTAACAGGAATGTATTGGTGTACTCAGGTTTCAACTTAAAGTTTGAAGTTCCACTTCAACTTTCAAGATAAATTATGTGTGTGTGTGTGTTTTGTTATAGTAAAGCCACATCGGGCTAGCTTCTGTGTCCACCGAGGGGAATCGAACTCCTGATTTTAGCCTTGTAAATCCGAAACTTACCGCTGTCCCGCCGGGGGGACAGATAAATTATACCTGTGACTAACTTCGTTTTCTATAACTGTATTTGTACTTCACTAAAATATTTTAAGTGATAAATCGTCTTAAATGAAAATTTTATATTGTAACTTGTAAAGCTATAAGTAAATAATTTTTTGAGCCACTTTAACTTTTAAGTAATTTGCACTGACGTAAGTATCCTATTCCAATTTCTAGTTCTAGATCAAGAACATTCTTTACAAATGATAATATTAATACAACTTATAAGTTACATTACACCTATTTACGTCTATGTTAATCATTTCTGAAAATTAATAAGACCTGTATCACATACCTATCTATTAAACTCCGTGAAAACAACCTATTTTGAGAACTTGTACACAAAATAGAAGTTTCGAAATCCATAAATTGTCTATAAACAATATAATGCTTTAACTTTTGTTTATAGTAGACCAGTTTACGGCACTTACCCACATAAAGATCAACAGTTTACGATTATCTATCAGCGCCACGACACGAATAATTTTCGAACCACTTTATAGGTATAATATTTTGCCCTATTAGCAATGAAATGATCCCCCGTGGAACAAGGATAAGTTTACGATCCCTCATCGCTAAAACCCAGGGTTCAATTTCCCACGGTGACCACAGCAGATTGCCCAATGGAACAAGAGAGTAACTTAAAATATTTTAAAAGCATTGATAAAATGAAATGTTCTCGCGACCTTTGTTATCTAATGTTAACCGCGAAAACTAATGCATTATTCGAAAAAGATGAGTGAAAAGGTTAAGTATTTGGTAAAAGTATATGTGAAAAATATAGTTGTGACATCTACAGGAGGTTTAAATGATGAGGACAAAAAATAAAATTTATTATGCTTACATATTTTCATATGACAAATTATAAATGAAATGCACAGATATAAGTAACTGAACTCAATACCACCGTTATTGTTTAGATAGATAAAAATACTATTGAATATAAAGTAAATAACTATTTTAGACATTGTTTGAAGAAAGAGGACATTGAAAGTCTGATAGTAACTGGTGTTACGTCTGTGTTCGTTTGTTAATTTCCCGTAAAAATTCTCTCCGAAGAACTTCAGCGATACAAGTCCTTTCTTAAATAAAACTAGTTTATTCTTTCTCAATACAACTTTGCAATACACTTAATTTCCACAGTTACTGTAACTTAAACACACGCTAGAGTTCACAACGATTCACGCACTTTATTAACACTTGGAATCGATTATCTGTCTCTATATCTCTCTGTCTGCAATTCCCCGTCCCGATTCATTGTCTGGCGCGCTTATTACAAGAACAGAGAGCGCGTAGAGAAGAGTAGAGTTGCCGCGAACAGACATGATCCTTTTAGAATCTCCAGCGGGCATACTTCCAGTGTCGCGTGACTTCCGCTGTCGTAACACTGGAAAGATAGAAGGAAGGAGAGACCATGAAAGATATGAAGAAGACCAAGGTCACTAATATCCCGTTTGGATATGGTAAATAGAGAGAAAAAAGAATAGAATATACCTTGACATTTAATTAATTTTATGGTATGAACACATTTTTTAAGCTAGCGAAGCATGATTACGAAAATTATGGGATTTTTAAAACCGTTTTTAATTCACCATATGGTAATCTAAATTACTGTAACTGTGTTAATAATGTTACGGCATTGTGCCCAATTTATCATTCGATATCATACAGTGGACCAACAGTTTAATTATTATATCACCAAAAGCAAAACTGAAAATACAATATGTGAAGTAGAGCTAGGCCTAATGATTATGAATAGTTATACTTTTCTTAAACATTAGTAACAGTCTAAACACAACACCGGTACAAACAGGGTCAAACAAAAAAACAAGCTATCAAATATAACAACAGAAATATAAAAAATAAAAACAAAAACTTTCACACATCTATAATACAAATTCTATAACTTACTGAAAACATTTAGTAAACCCGTACCTGTCCAAGACTAGGTAAAAACGTTAATATACATTACAACATAAATCTCAATGCGATTAATTTCAATAAATATTAAAAGAAATTAAAAAAAAAGAGAACCAGAAAAAAACCTACTTCACCAGACAATAACACAATGTTCCAAGCAATAATTCTTTCTAAATATATCTCGCGAACTAACTCGTTTTCAACATCAAGGAAGGCTTTTCATTTAGTGGTTAGCTTACGAGGTTACATCTTATGAGACTAGTTATTACCATAAATCTACATAATATTTTACAATATTAATATATGTACCTCACCGCTAGGGGAAGCTTGAGTCAACTTCATAATGCATACATACATACTAAAAATCAACATGCTTAAGATATAAGGTGAATTAGCGTATTAATTAACTTAATGTAACTAAAAATTTATAGTTAAACTAAACGATAGAGGGAAAAATCGGTGAACGGTAAACAAAACCACGAAATAAAAGTATAATTCGCTACCTTACATATTAGTAATGATATATAAAAGTAATAATTAGTGTAATATGCTTAATACTAATATTGTATTAGTAATATCTCATGTCAAGTATAATTAATTCACCACTGTTTGAAAATCATCTTTGCCATATGTTGGTTTGATAAGAAAGATTTCAGGTATATGATGAAGCACTCGTTATAAGTTATTTTCATGTTTATGCATTGACCAGTGAAAAATCGATTATTGTTACTGTGAAATCAGTAGGTTTGAAATGTGCTAGGCAAATTTTTTTGTTTTCTGTAATTTGAAAACTTCTTCGTGTATTTCTGTGAATTTATGAATCCGCAAACTGCATACAGTTGTATTCTTGGGAAAGGTATCCAGTTAAGTTTTCATCAACCAATACGCAGTAGTAGTAGTAGTAGTAGTAGTACCACCTACCTCTTTTGATGTTAAGGTTTTGTTCGCGAACAATTTCTCAAGTTAAAAATGATATTGATAACATTTTAACACTATTAGCTTTATTTATAAGATATATTAACAAAACATATCACGTAAATTACAAATTAATAACGATTTCATTATTATCGCTCTAGTTTATGTAGTCCCTAGTTCGCAAGAAAATTTGATTTCAGTTGAAACATCTTCCATAATTCGATACGCGTCAAGCATGAAAGAAGAAAGTAGGTAAACAAACAAAAAAAAATGTTGAAGAGTTGTAGTTATAAATGATGAAATAGCAATTCCCATTATTTTAAAAATATAACACGTGTTTTTCATAATGTTTCCAAAGTTCAAAAGCGCTAAAAAAAAAGAAGCAAGACATCTATTAACGTTTACGGTCGAAAGGATGTATCCGAAAAACAAAATATGACAAGAAATATTTTCATTTGTTTTACTCTCTTTATAAAATAGACTACCTGCGGTAAATCGGTAGCAAATATTCTGCAGGACATGCTGGACCTACAAATTAGAATCCAGACCCTATATCTCTATGGTATTCATAAAATAAGATAAACCGTAATATTTTCTAAATCGTATCGAAAACAGTTACCATATGACTTGGTTATCTTGTAAGATTATCACTGAGTTAAATTCAAAGGAGTTCATATAGAAAAGCAATGTTTGTAGTAAGTTGGTACTTGAGTATTTTTAATCTATTTTAATGAAAGTGTTCCAAAACGCGACATTAATTTCTTGACGACCTCCCCCCCCCCCAAAAAAAAACGTACATCACTTATAATAGTTAAACGAGCTGCCTAAACGTCACGTTAGTGTAGTCTATATAATGTGTAAAGTGGAGTATACTCTAATTCCTTATCGAGACACACATTCGGCATGTAATGCTGTTTGAATACAAGAAGGGAAACAACGCCTCTAAAGCCACAAAGAATATCAAAGAAGTTTCTAGTAATGTTTTGAACGTTCGTAAGTGTCAACGATGGTTCAGCAAATTTCATTCAGGTGACTTTAGCCTTAAAAACTGTAATGGAAGGAGCCGACATGTTGGAATTGATATTGATGATCTGAAGACGCTTGTTGAATCTAACCCAAGGCAACACACTTGTGAAGTGGCCCTGAAATTCTATGTCTCTCACGAAACAATACGTAAACATCTAAGGAATATGGAAAAACATAAAGGTGTTTGGGTGCCTCACGAACTCTCCGATGATCATCGTTTCCAACGTGTGAACGTTGCTTCGTCTCTTCTGTTGTTTGAGTTTTTTCATCTAAAAAAAAAGCGACATTAATTTCTTGACGAAAAGTAGGACAATACAAACCCGTCAGTGGCTCATTGGTAAGTCTAAAGGCTTATAACTCTTAATATATCCTTTTGATATTCTTTGAAAGGTACAATACAGATAGCCATTTGTGTAGTTTTGTGTTTAACAACGAACATAAATAAAATGTAAAAAACACCAAACTCGGCGAGTTAAAGTTAGTTCAGTGTGAAATAATGAGTTAGTGTGTGTGTTCGTCAGTGATTCAGATAGTAAGTTAGTCGATAGGCGTATTTGTTATTGATCAAATAGCGAGGAAAGTGTGCAAGTATATGTAAATATGTAAAAAAGTTATGTAAATAATTCACTTTGTTTACACAGCCATAATAGCTAAAACCAGCAGTACTGACATAATATCATTGGTGTAAACTATATCTTCAACGTTTGTTTGATAGAGAGAAGTAATCATGATGAATGTCCAACATATCTAGAAAGCTCATCTCGAAGCTTTAGAATCTAACAATTTCTTAGAATATGTATAAATATGAGACTCACCGAAGCAGTCAGTTCAGATCATTGTCAGAAAAGTTATTCAATGCTAAAAGTATGAATTATTGCGTCTATTCTGTTATTCAGTTATTCTATGGATTGGCCCGGCATAGCCAGATGATTACGGCACTTGACTCGCAATCTGAGGGTCGCGGGTTCGAATCCCCGTCACACCAACCATGCTCGACCTTTCAGCCATGGGGGCGTTATAATGTGACGGTCAATCCCACTATTTGTTGGTAAGAGTAACTCGAGGGTTGGCCGTGG